GCAGGCTAGTAGTCAGTACCATGGTGAAGCCTCCAGCCCTCCATGTTCGACAGCATTCAACAGTGGGGTTCTATATGCCCAGTGGTGTGTTCACACAACAAATCATAGGCAGACTTCATCAGCCTTGAATAGGCAAAGACCAAGGATAATCACATGGATAGTAACATATGTAGGAAAACTCTTATAAGGTGAGTAGTAGGTGTCCTCTGGGTTCCCTAGTGCTAACAAAAAGAGCCTGACTCCAAAAGTGACCAGGAGAACAGGGACGCTCCAATTCTAGTTGTGGCGATTCACCCAAGCTAGGTGTGGGATGGACACCTGTGAATAGAAGGACAGGGAGACACAAAGTGCCCAGTAGTTCACCAAGATCACAGGGAGGACAGACAGCATTTTCACAAACCTAGCAGAGGCTGGAATAGAAGAGTAGGGGCTTCCAGAATGAGCCATAAGCTATGCAGTAGATCATGAAGATCTACCCTATACTCCACTGCCCTGGATGGGAACTAGGCTTCTACAGCTTCCTAAATGCAGGTTAGAAAGTCATCACCACCTCTGGGACAGAACAGCCAAGGCCCTGCACTGTGATGCAGATAGACAGCCAAGGGTCCTCTCAGCATTGAGTGATGACCTAAAGGTCCACCCTCACAGGACTAGGATTCTGTAGGACTCTAGCAATGCTTGGGTTCTCTCTCCCCTGCTTCACTACTTCTTTCCATGTGGCTTGGGGACACATGACATACGACCACCCTGCCATACCCGACCCTCAACAGTCATTTGTAACTTTCCCTGTGCTCATGATTGGGCTATTGAGCCTGAATCTGGGAGAACCCTGATATTAGTACAGCGGGAAGAGAGGACAGACTATTGAAGTTTTCCCAAAAGGTTCTCTCTGCAGTGCTTCTGAGAAGGATGCAGGGAAACACTGGCAGGAAAGACGTGAGTTTGCTGCACTGCTTTGCCCTCTGAACACTGCAAAGTCTTACAGAAACTGGTTACATCTCTGCAAACCAGGACTAGGTTACACCTTGCAGGAGGGTGTGCCTGCTGACCCTGTTGCTTTCTCAAGTCTGGGGCCTGATGCTGCTCTTCCATGAACTATCTGTCTCACGTGAATGCTGGAGCCCTGGATAACTGAGAGGATTGTGAAGGCCCTGACTCAATGCTGTAGAATATCATTTTAAAGTGAGTTTCATTTGGTTGTGGTGTGGAAATTGTGCTTCAATGATGAGCAGGTGTGTTGTTTTTATGTTACATTTGTTTACTTCTGTGAAGATATTTTGCATTACCTCTCCAAAACACATGATTGGTCTAATAAAGAGCTGAATGGCCAATACTTGGCAGAAAAGGATCAGTGGGGAAGGCAGGCAGAGAGAATTAAACAGACAGAAAAATTGAGAGAATAAACAAGCAAGAGAAGGGAAAAAGGATGTAGCAGTCAGCCATTCAACTACATAACAAACTACAGAATGAGAAATAAAGAAAGGTCTACAGAAATACAGAATGCAAAAGCCCAGAGGAAAAAGACAGATGGGATAATTGAAGTTAAGAAAAGCAGGCTCGAACAAGCCAAGCAAAGGACTGGCCTTTATAAGGAAAAGTAAGCCACTGTGTATGTCTATTTGGGAGCTGGGTGGGAGGTCTCCGAAAGAGCAAGGGGCCAAAAGAGAAAAAGAATAAAAACGACACCACCACCAGCGAAGAAGGGCAGTGACCTCGGAATTCACCTGCCTTAGAGGACTGAGATGCACATGGCCAGAATGGAGTTCTGGGGTTGTTAAAAGGGACCAAACCATATCCCAGTAATGGCTGTGAGAACTAAGGATGTCTGGGTCATACCTGAGCAGATGACGCCAGCGTCCTCCTGGTGTCCACAGTTGTGGGAGAGCCAGCCTCGGTGGGAGCAGCTTGCCAGATAGTACTCGTGCCCTGTGCAGGCCACGTCATCCAGGACAATGGGCCCTGTGCCCTGTCCAAACCGGGCATTTCCGGGGGCAGACACGGCCCAGCCACAGCCCAGCTGTCTGCACACCACATTGGCATCATTGGTGTCCCAGCTGTCATCACACACGGTGCCCCAATAACCCTGGTACAAGATCTCCACGCGACCCTGACACCGGTCTCCTCCATTCACCAGCCTCACAGGCAAATCAAACCCTGTTTGTGGAAAGACATAGCGATTATCCTTCATTGTTCCTATGTGGATTATGGAGCATGTGTATTCCTGGACAGCTCTTTCATGGGTTTAAGGCAATACAGCACGTGAGCCCCTACTCTGTTGCTTTTTGGGCACCCTGTCTTGGAAAGACCTTACCACTATTTCTTGCCCCTGCATCCTCACTGAATGCTCGCTGCTTCTGTTCTAGGGGGAATGGTGTTTCTGTTACCAGGCAGACTATGTGTGTGCAGGGCTGACATGGGTTGAATCTATCCTGGATGGTGGGCAGACACCTGCTGCATCTTGTAACTAAGGCCTCTGAGTACCATACACTCTTCTGGATGATGACATACACTAGAGAATTTTGGGTGTTTCAAAGAGAGAGAGAGAGAGCAATCACAGCCCCACAACTCCTAACCCACAGACTGCAGTGGGGCACATCCAGGCCCACACCTGTCAGCACTAGAGCATAAGGTAGAGGACGATTTTCTCCGACAGACAAAATGGACAGAACGATGAGCTGCCTGGCAGGAGACAAGTTCAGGAGTCCTTGGCAAAGGCTCTTACCAGTTGATTACACAGACATGCTGAGATGTGTTACCAGAACTGTTTTTTCAGGCCCAATAAAACAGTATTCAACATGTATAGAGGCTATTGTTCACCCAACTGAGCTGGGTCAGGAGCTTTCTCTATAGGCTCACCTTCTGTCTACAATAACAGCACACTAGAGAACCCCGAACTTTGGCTCTGCTGGTACCAGGACCACTGATGTGAACTTATCACTGCAGTCAAACTTCAAGTGCCCAACCAGTCTAGAGAAGACAAAGATCCGCACGGGTTTTGCACTGATGTGAAATGGACCCCTTTGAAGGGACTCAGAATGGGTCCCATAATATATCATCAGTCTCCGTTTGCCATGGAAACCTCTCTGGAAGCTTGTCTTATGATAATTCTCTAACACAGATTCTTCTGACATAACACTATTTAGAGACTATGGAAATCAGAAATGCACCCCATGCTGACTGTCTCCTCTGCACAGAGAGACACAAATAAAAAGTCAGAGGTGCCTCAGTAAAGGAAAGCCCCGTGTATCAGGAGTCAATCCCACCTTCTTTAAGTTTTCACTACACACACACACACACACACACACACACACACACCCTTGCGTGTCTCAGGAAAGGCAACACCATGAATGACACTAGCGTTACCACCTACAGAGAAACATTTGTACCACTTCCTTACCTACAGTTGTGTCAGGAGGAGTGGTGGTCACCTCTGGGGTGGTGGAAGGCTCTGTAGTGGTCGGCTCTGCATGTTCAGAAACAGATTGGAGACAAAAATAGAAAATATGAAATCAAGTCTCCATTGAGAAAACCAGAGACATGCAAGTACAGTTAAATCGGCTGACTTGGGGTCTGAACTGGGTAATGAATGTGACTCTGGCATGGAGACACGGGGCAGCATGTTTCTGCTAGGTGTGATGTCCCTAGTCACTCACAGTGAGTGACTGTGAGAGAAACAGACAGCAGGTGAGTGCTGTCAGCGCCCCCTACCCCCATGGAACAGGTTCAGCATCCTGATAGCAGGATCCTGGGTGCACCTTTGCTGTGGCTACTTTGCACTTATGAGTACTCGGTGGTATGTGAGTAACAGGTTGGAATGGAAACAAGGTGAGGGGGTCAGATGGGTGCAGTTATTGAGGTCTTCACAGGTGGGGATGGGCAAAGGACAGCTGAGCAATACAAGACATTCACAAGGTACTTCCGGGTCTGAATGAAGCCATCTTGCTGCCCTCTGCTGGTCACTCTGCGCTGTCCCCCTAGAGAACTGCCATCCTCAGTCTGGCCCTCACTGGAGGATGGTCCCCTGAGTCCCTGCCAGGACATTTCTGCTTCTCTCAATACATGTACTCAGGGGAGGAAGTGGCTTTATCATGCCAGGGGCACAGTGGCACAGGCACTGGTCCTCTGTGGCCTCCCCTATAAACTCACACAGAAGTCTGCAAGCTCTCTCCCTGGTTGGACAAAGATGGTCTTATCTAGGCAGTCCTGGGTTCAAACCCCACCTTCACATTTACAGCCACGGAATCATAGACACGAACTATTAACAAATTATCTAACTATGTTTTAGTTTTCCTATACAAAGAATGGGATCAATGATACTTACCTCAAAATGTTGGGAAGGTTTCATGATAAGAGCACACATATCCTGTATTAGCTCAGCTCTGATTGTGTGCAATATCTTTAATTTTTGAAATATTTCTTTTATTTTTATTTATGTGCACAGACAAGTATCTGTGCAGGGTATGTGCACTTTGGTACACTTGCCCATAGGGGCCAGACGAAGGTGGCAGGGCTACTCTTTGTTGGAGTTACAAGTGCTTATAGACTCTCTAATGGATGCTTAGAACTGAACTCAGGTCTTCTGAGCAGTGTGTACTCTTATGATGACCATCGCTTCAGCCTCTACTTTACATTTCGATGGATTCTTTTCATATATGAAAATTATTTTGGTTCTGATATATAACATGTTTTGAGCTATAAGATGTTGCTACCCTTTGCAAGAATGGCTCTTATTGTACAAGGAAGAACCAGTGAGTGTTTCCAGCTAGATTTTCTGACACTAGGCTCAAGCTAATTTCACCCATCAACTGACTGAAGGGCAGAGAGGAGAAGGAAGGTGAAGGACAGGGATTGGTGGAGTTTACACAGCAGCCTGACATCCACGCCTCTCATCTCACTCCATCCCTGATTCTGTACCCAAAGCTGCACTTGGATCCCACCAGACAGCAGAGGACCAGCAGCAGGGCTGACGACCTGTCCTAGCTGGCTCCACTGTCACCTGCCACAGTTGAGTCATTTGAAGGAGTCTCAACTGCTTGTCTTATCTAAATCACAGTTGCTACTGACTATGTCTGTGGGAAATTCTCTTGATTGATAATTGGTAGAGGAATGCCATCCCATTGACCTTATCAGATGAGCCTGTATAGTATAAAATTGCAGGCTAAGCATGAGTTTGGAAGTCAGCAAGCAGGGATCCTGTAAGGCCCCTGCATCAGGTCCTGCCTCTGGCTCCACTGCCCTGGGCTCGTGCCCTGGCTTCACTAGATGATAGACAATAAACTTTAAGCTAAATAAACCCTTCCTCCCCCTAGTGGCTTGTGGCCAGTGTTTTATCACTGCAGCAGAAAGCCCACTGGATACCAATTTAATGAGTAGCCAATAATCAGAGACTAAGAGCAAAGGAGAAGGCCTTAGTTGTCACTTCTGGGATTCACTAGCCTGAAGAAAAACCAAAAAAAGTTATAAGAGGGTTCACTGCTTAGAAATGAACGCCTTCAGGTTACAAAGTTAGCTTCAACTGCACTGTCCACTCTTCTGGGTATAGGGTGATCTGTGGTGCAGTCATGGCTGTGTGCACTGCCCAAGTACTTGGTATAAATGATTTTTTTGCAAAAGGAATTAAAAAACATGTGGGCTGTAGATGAAGTATACAGCATTTCAGATATGATAAACAAGAGTTGGGCATGGTGGCAAACTCCTGGAATCCCAGATCTCCTGAACTAGAAGCAAGGGTATCAGGAGTTCAAGTGGCCTTGTTTTTTTTTGTTGTTGTTGTTGTTAATTAAAACACTCCTTGGCCTATTAGCTTATGCATATTTCTAGCTAGCTCTTACATCTTAAAGTAACCCATTTCTATTAATCTGTGTATCGCCATATGGTTGTGGACTACTGGTTCTGTCTGGCATCTCATGTCTGTCTCCTGCAGCGGGTTCATAGATTCTCCCTGACTCTGTCTATACTCTCACTATATCTCTATCAGCCTGACTCTATTCTGAAGCGGCTTTGTGTATACATCATGTCTGAGACCAGCCTGGGCTACGTGGGTGTCAAAATAAGTAATTAAATAAATAGCGTGGACATATTTTTTTGTTTTTTGAAGTCCTACCAAACTAATGGGCCTATATGTTTGCAAGTCTTAAAGTCTTATTAGTCTTGTACCAAGCAGATTTCCCAGAATATGGAGGAGGGCAGGTTATCCTTACACATCATCTGATAAAGCACAGACCCCTGAGCCACTCTGGTCTCCAATCAGAATCCCATGTGGGAAGGATATGAATCCCAGACAATGCAATCAGATATTCTATTAGATTCTGACACATGCTAAAATTCGAGGCAGGAACAACATCAGATTGAAGAGTGCACCTAGGTTACCACCTGACCCTTTATGCTCCAGCTGGCAGAAGCTTCTGTGTCATTACATGTCCAGATCACACACAGATTATTTAATGCTTCCTTGTCTCGTTAGAGAACATTTAGTGAGGCAGTGTTTATTATGACATATGGGAAACTCTAAACTGGTACAGTTCATCTTTTCAAAGTGCTTACCAGATGTTGGATAGCTTGCTTGAGAATCTGTAAGGGAATAAAGCAAATTCAGATTGTGTGTTTCACCCACAGGAAACCTGGGGAAACCTAACTGGGGAGCAATAGTGCTGATCAACCAGGACACCCAAGGTCAGGTTCACCAACCCCTGAACAGAAAAGTCTTACACCTCTGCTGTGTGGGCTCCTTGAAGACAAAGTCTAACACTGAGATTCCATTTTCTTGGTCAGAAGAGAAAAACAGATTTAGTAATATCCCATTGGTACTCTGTGTCCATGGCTTCCTTCATGGATTACACAGCCAGTGGATCATAAAATGGGGGAACCCCTGCAACTGTACAGAGCAGGCAGAAACTTTCACTCCGCCCTCACCCCAGGAGTACTGAGTTACAGCAACGACCTACACGACCTTGGTGTTCTATCAGGGGCTGTAACTGGGAATAACTGTAAAAATGCGGGAGACGTGTGGGTCACACACAGTTTATAAAGATTGAGTATGGAAGTGTTTGAGTATAAGCAAGGGGGTTCTTAGAACCAACCTCCTGTGGAGACTGAGATAATTGCTCAGGAATGGTGAGGATGTAGTTAGTGTTGTTCCTGGTTTAACATATGTGTGAGTATGTTTGTGTATGTATATGCACATATTATGGAAATAGCAGGGCTGCTCAGGTCTGGAAGAAGGCCTGAGTTTGAGCTACCCACTATTATATCCGCTGTCTGCCTGTTGAAATATATTCGTGTGAGCCAGGCACCCTGTTAGGTTCTTGGTTCATACACCAAAATTGGCACTAAGGTGTGTCTCCTGCCATCCAGAGACTTCCAGCATAGTCAGGTCCCTGAAGACATCAACAGACAGTCTTGTACAAGGGGCAAGTGCTAGCTGAGATGTGGTGGAAGAATAGGAATGGCCAGTGGATAACATAAAGTGTATGTGTGTCTACATCCATATCTGTTTCTATGGGTCTTTTTCGCTTCATTGTCAATGTATGTCTATGTGCGGGTGTGCATGTGGGGGGGTGTATTTATGTGTAAAATGTGTGTTTGTGTCATGTCTGTCTGTGATGTGAATATTTGCATGTGTGAATATCTGTAGATTTGTTTCTCTGTTTATGGATGTTTCTCTCTGTATGTTTCTCTCTATGCAAACTAATCTATATAAGTTTAGTTATATCTCTGTGTATACCTGTGTGTATGTGCATGTGTGTGTATGCGTGTGTTTGTGTGTGTGTGTGTGTTTCTAACTCTGTTGACTATAAATCAGGAAGGGTTTTCTAAAAGCAGACAATGTCCCTGGACTTTAGAAAGAGCAGTTAGGCCACGTGACGGTGGCACACACCTTTAATCCCAGCTTTCAGTAGGCAGAGGAAGTTGAATCTCTGTGAGTTCGAGGTGCTATGGTCTACAAGAGCTAGTTCCAGGATCCAGGACAGGCTACAGAGCTACAGAGAAACCCTGCCATGAAAAAAAAAATCACCTGACTGAGCTAATAAAGGACTGAATAACCAATAGCTTGGCATGAAAGGATGAGCAGGTCTGGCAGGCAGAGGGAATAAATGGGAGGAGAAATCTGAGAGAAGGAGCAAGAGGAGTCAGCGGCCAAACACCCTGCTACACAGCCACTCACAGAGTGAGAAGTACTGAAAGGTGTATAGAAATAGGGAAAGTAAAAGCTCTGATGCAAAAGAGAGATGGGATAATTTAAGTTAAGAAAACCTAACTTTAAAGGCCAAGCTAAGGCTAGGTACTTAAGTACAAGAATAAATCTCTATGTGTGATTTATTTGGGAGCTCAGCGGCTGGCTTGCAAGAGCAAGGAGCCAAAAGAGAAAAAGAGTGAAAACAAACACGACTAGCTGAGAATGGCAGGGCTCTGGCCTTAGAAAAAAACCAGCCTTAGGAAAAAAAACAATGCCAGAATGGGGAGGGGGGCTTAAAAGGGACCAAACCATATCCCAGTAATGGCTTGAGAACTAAGGATCTCTGGTCATACCTGAGCAGATGACGCCAGCGTCCTCCGAGTGTCCACAGTTGTGGGAGAGCCAGCCTTGGTGGGAGCAGCTTGCCAGATAGTACTCGTGCCCTGTGCAGGCCACGTCATCCAGGACAATGGGCCCAGAGCCCTGTCCAAACTGGGCATATCCAGGGGCAGACACTGCCCAGCCACAGCCCAGCTGTCTGCATACCACATCGGCATCATACAGGTCCCAGCCATCGTCACACACGGTGCCCCAGGAACCCTGGTAAAAGATCTCCACACGACCCTGACACCGGTCTCCTCCATTCACCAGCCTCACAGCGAAATCAAACCCTGTTCCTGTAAAGACAAGGGGTATTCTCCATCATTGTTCCTATGTGGTTGACGGCGCATGTGCATTCCTGGGCAGCTCTTTCATGGGGTTTAAGTCAATACAGGACGTGAGCCCCTCCCCTGTTGCTTTTTGGGCACCCTGTCTTGGAAAGACCTTACCCCATCACTTGCCCTTGCACCCTCACTGAATGCTCGCTGCTTCTGTTCTAGACAGGAAAGGTCTGTCTGTCACCAGGAGGGCTATGTGTGTGCAGTGCTGACATGAATCTATCCTGGATGGTGGGCAGACACCTGCTGCATCTTGTAACTAAGGCCTTTGAGTGCCATACACTCTTCAGGATGCCAACATATACTGGTCAATGTGGGGTCTTTCACGGACATAGAGAAATCATAGCCCCACAACTAATGTACAGAGTGCCCACGGGTACATCCAGCCCCACCTTGGCCCACATTGCTCTTTGACTGACCGAAGAGACTGATTGATAAGCTCCCTGGCAGTAGACACGTTCATGGATCTTTGGCAAAGGCTCTCACTGGCTGCTTACCCAGACAAGGGTGAGATGTGGTATCAGAACTGTTTTTTCAGGCCCAATAAAACAGTATTAATCATGAATAGAAGCTATTGTTCACCCCGCTGAGCTGGGTCAGGAGACTGCCCATGAGCTCACCCTCTGATTTCAATAACAGCACACTAGAAAGCCCTGAATTTTGTCACTACTGGTCTCCAAGACAACTGATGTGAACTTACCACTGAAGTCAACCTTTAACTACCCAACATGTTTAGACAAGACCAAGGTCTGCATGGGTTTTGCACTGGACTAACGGGACCCTTTCAAGGAACTCAGATAGGATCCCACAATATATCATCGGTCTCATTTTGCCATGGAAACGTCTCTGCAAGTTTGTCTTATCTTGATCCTCTAACCCAGAGTTTCTTTGGACATAACACTAAATATTGAGACCATGGAAAACCCACTCCATTGCTGACTGACTCCTCCACACAGAGACAAATGGGTCATGATAGAGGAAAGCTCCAACAATCAGGACCTTATTCTAGCTTCTCTAAGATTTCACAATACTACACACACACACACACACACACACATACACACACACACACACACACATCTCTTTAAGTGTGTCAAGAAAGTCATGGCTGACACTGACATTACAACCTACACCAGAGAGAGATTTATACAACTTTAGTTACCTATTGGTAGAGTGCTGGGCGGCACTGCAGTGGTAGTCGGCTCTGGAGTGGTGATCTCTACACGTTCATATATGGATGAGAAAGAAACATGAAGTTAAGTCTCCATTGAGAAAAGGTCAGGCATGCAAGTACAGTTAAAACTGCTGATGGATGTGATTCAGGCTCTCTAC